CAAATTTATTTTGTGAATATATTTAACAAATTCTGCTATCATTTGTGATCGCCAACTTTCTGTGAACTGTGTAGTTCTAACGGTTCTTTGTTGCTTATAAAATCTCTGAGGTTGGATGTAAGGAATGCATTGAAATGCTGGTTGTCTGAGCCTGAAGTGAAGTTGGTATAGAAATGTAGCTTAGGGCAGAAAAGACACAGACCTAAAATCACATCTTCTTCTTCTTCAGCATTCCGAGCCCTTAAGGTTCATTGCTGCAGATATCGCCTGCCTCCATTCATCTCTCTGGTTGGTCTTCTGTTTCCAGTTGGTGACACCAAGTGTTTGCAGGTCTGTCTGGACATTATCTCTCCATCGTCTTCTCGGTCTGCCTCGTGATCTACGACAATTCATCTCCCTTGCGTATATAGTTTTCGCTTCTGTTTCTGACATTCTCTCAATATGCCCCAACCATTTCAGTCTATTAGCTTTCTTGATGCCAGTGATCAACGGTGATTTAAACATTATGAATTTTGTTGTTGCTTCTCACTCTCCATACCTCGCTATTTGCATGTTCGATGGTCCTAAGATTCATCGTAAGACTGTTTTCGAAAACCTGTAATAAAGCTTCATCTCTTTTAGTTGTGCTCCAAGTTTCAGAGCCATATAAAACGACTGGTCTTAATAACATTTTAAATATTTTGACCTTGGTGTTGCTAGACAGACACTTTGACTTTAGATGTAGAAGGGCATGGTATTCTTTATGTTCAGATTGTATTTCTTCTCTCAGCATGTTGGAGCAGTTTAAGTTTGCACCCAAGTACTTATATGTTTCCTTTCGTTTGATTTTCATACTATTGACTAAATGTATTGACTAAATCACATGGAGAAGAGAAATAGACAGAGATTAAAAATATGGTGAGGACATAGAAGGAGCTAAGGAAAACAGCAAAAAATAGAAGGGCCTGGTTTGTCCAAGTTGAGAGCCTTTTCTTTAATGGGGGGATACAAGATGGAAAATCACATATTGTAATGATAGCTGATTTGTTAAACGCACACAGGACATACATGTTTTTTTTTTCTTCCTGCCAGCAGATGTTTGGATGTAATAAGGATGCTATATTTTCCCACAAAAATATGTGCAATCTAAATCACAAGTGCATAACTTTAGAATTTTTTAAACAATTTTTTCATGTCCCAACCTCTTTCATATAAATTGTGACTCATTAATATTTATGGCGTTGGGGTGTTTGTGGATTGCCTACCTCTCCGGTTAGCGGCCAGAAGTGAGCTGTACCAGTTCTAAAGGAATTATGGGTTGTGTTTCTGCCTTCCCTTTTGACACGCGGCTAAGGTGGGGCTTACAGTATACTCATTCCCTGACATCAGATTGCCTGCTGGTTTTGCTGAGTTCTTTATGGCTCTAAGTATGAGTAGTTGGAGCCCTGTGCCTTCACGATAGTTTCCGGTATTCAAGGGAGTTTGCCTACTTGTTTCCATTCCTAAGTCTGTTCAGCACCCCTCCGGCTCCTTTCCTCCCACATATGGCAGTACGGTGTGGTGCACCAGGTTTATTATCAAGGTTTACTCCTCTAGATCCATTGTGTTTTACCTGGAGATTCGCACCCCCAGGTACCAGGACTACCTCGGGGAGGGTGTGGCTCTTTACCACACACATTAGTCTTAGGGTAAGAGAGGTTATGCTAGGTCAAGAAACTGACACCTCAATGGACGCTGCTTTCATGAACAGATATTCACCAGACCCAGGGTGAAGTAAGGGATGAAAACCACTACCCACAACACCAACACTTCACACCCCCTTTCTCTCAAGGCTCAGTCCCCTCAGCCTCCTCCAACACATGGCAATTGTTCACTGCAAGAACTTATGTAGAAACCCTAGGCATAAAGTCCAGATGGTAAAAATAAATAGCATGTTTATACATGCGAATTATGTAATTGCATTCAGCGAACCAGTTTAAGAAATGTAAACCATTACAACAGTTTATTTATGGCTGTTATTTGTTTTGTTTATTTACATGAGAGGGGAGAGGCTGGCTGAGTGGTTGCAACATCGGGTTCTCGTGTTGGAGACCCGGGTTCGACCGCCAGTAAGGTGACAGAGATTTTCTGTAGGGGGCAAAATTAAACATCCTTATCTGCGCAGTCTATGGCGACAGCACTAGACATGCGGCCCTAAATCCTTAGGCCACTGCCTACTCCATTCTAAAACGATGGTAAATACAGACAGTATTCACAGGACATTTAACTATTTCTTTTGACTGTACAAAAATAAGTTTGGTTGTACTTAGTCTGAAGTAGTTAAAAATATTTACTTGTTACAGCCCATTTGGTACCGATTAGAGCTTTTTAGTCAAATTTCACTGAAATTCAGAGAACATTGTCATCAAATGTGGGTGTATATTTGTCCAACGCAGACAATTGAAACTGGATTTACAGATGTAAACTTTTAAAAACTATTTGTTGTAATTATAATTTAATATAAACAATTTCCTTATATGTTCTAGGAAAGCAGATTCAGTTCACTGTAATGCTACAGTGCATGGTGATAATAAATGTATTATTGCATTCAGGCTTGAGTTGACATTCTGTCTAGTGCTTTCACTTTTAGTCTTAACCAAGGTTTCAACTTCACTGCAATCGAGTTTCCCCATACTTGCTCCGTTCCTGTGCCAGTGCAAATCAAATGAAATATCTTTCACTGTGATATCTGAAAAACTGGTGAACAATTAGTCCCAGAATAATCCAGAAATAAGCACACGCAGTAAATGCATATTTCAGTTGCTAAAAGCCAACAGTCGTCAACAAAAATGCAGTTTGTCATTGATGGAAGTAGTCAGGCACACGTAGAATGTATTGCACAGCTCACACCTAAACTGGCTATTGGCCATATTGAATGCCACGACACAACCACTTCATAAATGAAAGGCATTCCACAGGAGAAAACACAGCACATAGGGCGCCACCGAGCATTAAACAGTAATTCAGGCAGTGAAACTGTATACTAGCGTCTATATGAGGAAAATGATTTAACAAAGCGCTGTCAGGTGCAAAAACAACTTTGAAGCTTAACATTTTGTCATACCTACTCCTCTATTTCAGTCTGGAAGAATGCTTTTAATGTTAATTCCCAAATTAAGAATCGATATCACAGCACTTGGGACAGTCCCATAAGTGCTCAGTCTCCATCTTCAACATCAAGCAAATAGTTCCAATTCCAATGGTACCAGTAACTGTCTGATTGTATGTCTGTCTCATCCTTCCCCTGAGTGTTGAGCGTCAGCCAGATCCCCTAGTAACTCCTCACAGCGCCATTCTCCTTAAACCGTAATGATCTATCTGTGCCTCAGCACTGTTCACTCGCTCCCAAAGGGCCCTCACAATACATCCGAAAACACAACATAGCTAGATAAGTAATTCAAGAACCCTGCTCTGTGCCTCCTTTTAAACAGCATAAAGAGAATAGACAATTTAATATTGTCTGTCCAAAAGCACAGTAAAGATCAAAATCTGTTCTTGAATTGAAAGAAAATGAAAATAATGTCCACAGATCAAACTGGCTGTCACCCAAAAATAATTAATGGTGAAGAAATTGAAAATGTCGCAAACTTTGAATATCTAGGCTCTATAATAAATAGCAATGGAGACTGTTTGACAGAAATTAAAAGGAGGATGGCCATAGCAATGCAAAGATTAAACAGCCTAAAAAGTCTATGGTTAAGCACCAGCAAGGAAATCAAAATTATAATTTTGAGAGCATGCATCTTCCCTGTAGCAACATACGGATGTGAGTCATGGGCTATCTCTCAGTGCTTGAGAAAGAGAATAGAGGTTTTTGAGCTGTCCATGATATCCTGAGAAGTTTTTTTGTTGCATTTTATCTTAAAAGCCCCTATTTTCTTTCTTAAGGACTGTTTTCTTAATATTAACAAAGTGAATACTTTGTTTACGAGAAATAGATTTTTAAAAATCTTTTATCATCCAAAAAACTGCCTTTATATACCACTTTTGCGGTGTAGGCAGGGGGGTCTTTGAGTCCAAAGATTTAAGGCCACATGTGCAGGTGAGGATTTTATTTTGCCCCTGCAGAAAAAAATCCCTAGCCTTACCGAGGATTCAAACCTGGGTCTTCCGCTTGAGAATCCATCGTTCAGCCAGCCGCTGTTCTCTTTCCTCATCATGGTCACATAATACCATGTGCTAAATAACACTTCCATAACATAGAACAGATAGTGCGACCAGCCCGATATTTTGTTTTTGACTTCCAGTACCATGAGCAAAACTTGTCATAAAACAGCTCAGAATATGAAACATTTGAAATATCTGTGGTTGTTTCGATCAAAGGTACATTGCTGCTCCCTTCTAATTTGTCCTGGAAAATATAAGTAAATTTATTATTTTAATTGTGTTACAAATAATGGATGCAGTTAACTTCTTCTTCTTTTTCTTCTTCTTCTGTTAACTGATAATGATAAAAACATGCAATGAATAAAAGGATGCTGAGTGGTCTCGAGGTATGACATCTGCCTTGAGTGCTGGAGATCCCTGGTTCAAGCCCTGGTAAAGGCTGGGATTTTTTCACATAGATTTCTAGTAATTTCCCCTGGTCTCTGGGTAGTAAGATCGGACGCCCGTGTGTATTGTTGAGCACATAAAGAATCCCTTGGCAGTTGGAAATCTAAAAGAATAACTTAACGGCGCTGCCTGGGAAAATTTTGGAGTTAAAAATACCCAAAGCATTTAAGGATCCTCGCCGGTGCAACAGAGTTCGTGCACTGCACTGAGATTCTTCAGACTCAGGCTTGAGTTAGAAGTAGAACAGAGCACTTATGGATTACACCTATGTGCCGGGATGTTGATCCGTTGACTAAACGAATAAAGGGAAAAAACAGTGCAAACAGCCAGCATGACAATTACAGAATAGACACCTTGTGGCCTTACACGTCAATTTTTAGCATTCTGATTCCTTGAGATTCATTGATACAGATATCACCTGCATTGGC